GACCCTCAAAGATTAACTATTGCGCATGTACTGGAGGGCGGCTCAAGCGGTGTTAGAAGTGGGGGCGGATCTCCGGAGAGAGGGGACGCCGTTGACAAGGGGCCGCCCGGGGATCTGTAGGCTTAGTTTATGTTGTGCTTTCCATTGTTTTTCTTGCCTGTATATGGAGTTTTCATTTCGGCGCATGTAAGAAAAGAACAATCTTGTGAATTTATTTCCTTTACCGAAGAGAGCTCTGAATCTAGAGCTTTGAATCTTTAGTGTAGCTTTGCAGCCCATTCCGGGATGGTTGATGTGATCCTTGCCGGGAGTTGCAGCGGGGGTTGCGTGCATTCGCGCTCTGTTCCGAAGTCGTGCTGCGACTTGAGCTGTAATCCACTTTGTGCTTCCAGGTTCCCCGGATTGGCGACGGTGGTATTTGTGCCGTGCTTTCAGGCGTTTTGCAATTTTCTTGGAGCCAATCTCCAAGTCGGGAGCCCGATTTGGGCTTGATATACCTGGGGCCCGGCTTGTTTGAATTGGAGATAGCGGTCTTTATGTCGTGCCCCCGGGCGTGCTACAATCCTCGGGCCCAGTCTCCGAATCGAGTCGTGATTCGAGCTGTATTTGGCCTTTGATCCCTTCGGGGGCTCCGGTTGGCGATAGTGTTTTCCGTTTCCCGCCCTTGGGCGTTTGGCGCTTTTCTAGGTCCATCCTCCGAGTCGTGTTGTGACTAGGGCTGTACTTGACCCTTGAATTTTATCTGAGTTTTTTGGCCAGTGATGGTGGCCTTCCGTGTTGCTAGGCCATCGGGACCTTTTAGCATGAGGCCCGGAGGCATGCCTATTTGGCGACAGTGGCACTTATGTTGTTTGGTCGTAGAGACCTTTTGATATGGGGCCCGGAGGCTCGCCTAGCCGGCGACAATGGAAATTATGCTGTTTGGTCGTACAGACCCTTTGATATGAGACCCGGAGGCTTTGCTTAGTTTAACTATTTTGGATCCGATCTTCGAATCAGGTTACGATTCGAGCTCACTTTAATCCTCAAGTTGTTAATTTTCAATTTTATGGTCGTAGAGACCTTTCGGTGTGAAGCCCGGGGGCTTTGCTTAGCTGGCGACAATGGCACTTACGTTGTTTTGATGTGAGGCCCGGAGGCTTTTTGTAGGCTTTCTTTCCTCTCGTTGAGGTCTTATTGATTATTTTGCCTGACCCGTCGTTGGTTCTAAAAGAACCTCGATTTCAAGTCGTAATCGGCGATGTTTTGAGCACCTTGGAAGGTTCATAGCCCATAGGTCGAGTAGATCGACGCTTTTTTGATTTTGGAGCCGACGTGGTCGGGACTCGTTTGTCGCCTATTGAGGGAAGCCTGTGTTTTAACCGGTTCTTTCCGAAGTAGATTCGGAGGATTTTTCTAGCAACAGTCAGGCGTCCCCGAGTCGCGTTTTTTGGGTTGTGGCAGCCATTCCGACCGAAGTCGTATGCATTTGGCTGGGGCCATTTTTGATCCCCGAGAAGCAGTTTTAGGCGTCCACACCAAGGGTATGCCCTTTAGGGATTCTTACAAATGCGACGTATAGCCTAAACTGCGGGATTTTTCATGCCTGTTGAGGCCTTACAGTTTTCCATGCTTGTTGAGGTCTTATAGTTTGCCATGCCTTTTGAGGTCTTACAGTTTGCCATGCCTGTTGAGGTCTTACAGTTTATGGAGAATAGATTTTGTTTTGCCGAGGCTGCCCGTTAGGGTCTTACAATTTCGGATTTTCCAGTGCATGGCGATTGGCGACAGCCTCCGAGTCATCGAGTTTGCTTGAAGACAGCTTCTTGTGAGTTCGGAGCTGTTTTCCAGGGGCTTGGTGAGCCCGGAGTTCCGACCCTGGGGTCGTACGAGCTATCAAAATTGCTTATTTTGAGTCTCCGAGCGTGTCAAACTTGTTTAATGGAGAAGTATTATGCTTTGAGACAATCTTTCTTGAAACATGAGACGCCAAGAAACTACCTTTTATTGTTTTGGAGCAGATGTGGGCTGTGATTAAAATACAAAAATATATTCTTTATTGCTTGGAATAGATATAGGCCGCAAGCACATATAGTTTTGTTGTCATGAGCTCGACCATCATGGGCTCGGCTCCTTAAAATTGCTTGGCCTGGTATGTTGCCTTTGTCAGAAAGGCCCTTTAAGTGGGAATTCGTTCCGGGGTGAGAGTCTGTTTTTGTGTAAGAGGGGGCGATGCTCGATCGTGGGCTCCCGCGGGTATTTGACAATTGCAAGCCTTAACAGTAATATCGTTTGAGCATCGACACATTCTAGTTGCTCGGGAGCCGCTCGCCTTCCATGGTGCCAAGCTTATATGAGCCTTTGCCAATGATTCCGAGGACGCGATATGGTCCTTCCCAATTCTGGCCTAGTTTTCCTTCGTTGGGATTTCGGGTGTTGAGAGTAACATTCCTCAGGACCAAGTCTCCGATGCTGAAATATCTGAGGTTCGTTCTCCGGTTGTAATATCTTTCGATTTTCTGCTTCTGGGCGGCCATCCGAATCAGTAAGGCCTCCCGCCTTTCATAGAGTAGCTCGAGGGGCGTTGTCGTGGCCTCGTGGTTTGTCTCCTCGCCAGCGTGCCGGACTCTAGCGCTTGGCTCACCGACCTCTACGGGTATTAATGCTTCAGCGCCGTATACTTGAGAAAAAGAAGTTTCGCCTGTACTTGATTTTGAATTCGTCTGATATGCCCATAATATCTTGGGCAGAGTCTCTCGCCTCTTTCCCTTGGAGCTCTCTAATTTCTTCTTCAAGTTTAGGATGATAGTTTTATTTGTGGATTCGGCCTGGCCGTTTGCGCATGGATGATACGGCGTTGAAAGGATCCTTTTGATTTTGTTGTCCTCCAGGAACTGAGTAACCTTGCTCCCAATGAATTGTCTCCCGTTGTTGCATGTTATTTCAGATGGGATCCCAAATCGGCATATGATGTGTTCCCATATAAATTTGTTGACTTCCTTCTCTCTTATTTTTTCGAAGGTGTGCGCTTCAACCAATTTTGAAAAGTAGTCAGTCATAAACAGAATGAATCTAGCTTTACCTGGTGCCGTTGGCAAAGGGCCATTCCCCATTTCATGAATGGCCATGGCGATAGGACAGAATGTAATTATCCCGCGGTTTGGTGGATCATGGGGGCGAATCTTTGACACTTGTCGCATCTCCGGACGAACTCCTTGGCGTCCCTTTCCATGCTATCCCAATAGTAACCTGCTCGGATTACCTTTCTGACTAAGGAGTCTGCCCCGGAGTGGTTTCCGCAGGTGCCCTCCTGGATCTCTCAGAACACGTAGTCCGTGTCTCCCGGTCCAAGACATACTGCTAGGGGGCCGTCGAAGGTTCTTCTGTATGGGGCCCCGCTTTCGTCGAGCGAGAACCGAGCCGCTCTGGTTGGTAGGACTCTTGACTCTTTCGGGTCGGCGAGCAGCTTCCCGTCATTCAGATAGGTGATGTATTTATTCCTCCAATCCCATGTCAGGCTGGTGGAGTTGATTTCCGCATGACCCTCCTCGACTGCGGACTTGATTAGCTGGACCACGGCCCCGGGGAGCAGGTCTTCCTCCTCGGCGAACGATCCTAGGTTTGCTAGGGCGTCAGCCTCGCTGTTCTGTTCTCGGGGCACATGGACTAAGGTCCATTCCTTGAAGCGGCGCAAGGTGACTAGGATTTTATCCACATACCCCTGCATTCTGTCTTCCCGAGCTTCATAGCTTTCGTTTACTTGACTTACTACGAGGAGCGAATCGCATTTTGCCTCGATGGACTCGGCCCCCAAGCCTTTGGCCAACTCTAGACCTGCAATCATAGCCTCATACTCGGCTTCGTTGTTA